CAAGGAGAGAAACGAATTACAGTAGACGGGATAAAAAGAGAAATGGAGGGGAGGGGGGATAGTAGAGGATAGGAAAGATAGCAGAATACAACAGTTACTAGTATGGCATTATGTAAAAATGTGTATGTGTAACCGATGTGATTCTGCAATCTGTATTTGGGGTAAAAATGGGAGTTCATAACTCACTTGAAACTAATGTTTGAAATATGATATGTCAAGAGCCTTGTAATGATTTGAACAACCAATAAAAAATAAATAAATAAATAAATAATCTAGTCAGTCAGCGTGGCAGAACAACAGCACTAATGCATCCCTCCTTCGTCTTCTGTGTCTTGAAAGCCATGGCAGGAGCAGTGCTAAGAAGCCCCCCAGCAGCGAGACGTGATGTGGACAGGCGGTGCTCAGTCCTTGCTGGTTAGCTTTATGATTGTGTAGCTGTCTTGATCTTGCTCTTTCAATTCTTATGAACTGCCTGCTTTCTGTGGAAATTTCCAGGTCTGTAAGGCAATGTCTGATGCAGATATGCTCAAACACTCAATGTGAAACATGCAGACTGCATGTAACATCAACTAAGATGCAGATTTCAAAAATCTTAATGGGAACCTGGAGATGTAGCTCAGTGGTAGAGCACCTGCCTAGCATGCAGGAGGCTCTGGGTTCAATTCCCAGACACACACATATACACACACACACACACACTCACACACACATACACACAATTATTAATAAATGAAGCTGCTCCTTTTCCCCAAGACTCTCACTAAATCTTCTCATGGCTTAATTAAACACTAGAATTATACCAAATCCAAAATCTTAATTATGTTTCTCTTTAGATAATAAAACTTGGGGTGTTTACCTTCTTATATTTAAATTTTTTTTTGAGACAGAGTTTCATTATTTTGGCTAAGCTGGCACTAAATCCTGCCTTAGGGTTTATCATCTTCTAAATTATTTTCTATATTTCTTGGACCTGTCACACATGCATGTACAACAACACTACTATTTGAGGACAAAGGAAAATAATCAAAAGAATTCTAAACAGGTAACATGATTCAAGTCTACCCTTTCCTGGTACAAGAGTGACACAGGGTTGATTTTAATCTTTCTCTCAGTCCTCTCTCTCCCTCTCTCTTCCTCCCAACCCCAAAATGGATTTACTTTGTATACACTTTTTCACACTCACTGTCAGGAAATTCTCTGTTAACTAAAGACTTTGTGGTTTTTCCCATTATACTATACTATATGGGGGGGTGATAATACCAATAATCACTCAGTATGATTAAAAACCATCAAGTTATTGGCTAGTTCCACTAACTTTTTTATTTTCATTTGTTCTAATTAGTTATACCTGACATTTTGACACATCATACATATGTGGAGTATTACTTCTCATTCTTCTGGTTGTACATGATGTAAAATTATACCAGTCAGGTCACATGTGTTCATAGGTATGTCCCATTCATTCTACTATCCTATCTCCCACACTCCCTCTTCTCCCTTCATTCCCTCTGCCTAATCCAAAGTACCTCCATTCTTACCAAGCCCTCCTTATGGTGAAGTAGCATCCTTATATCAGAGAAAACATTTGGCCTCTGGTCTTTTGAGGTTGGCTTATTTCTCTTAGCATGATATTTTCCAGCTCCATCCATTTACTGGCAAATGCCATAATTTCATTCTTTAAGACTGAGTAATATTCCATTGTGTATATATCCCACATTTTCTTTATCCATTCATCTGGTGAAAGAGCATCTAGGTGGGTTTCACTAATTCTTAATAAGCCAAAGAGCCAGAGGTGTTTTTTTTTTCCCCCAGACACAAGAAGCTTTTTTTCTGCCAGGAATTATCAAAACCATAGAGCTTTACCTCTTAAAACTGGTTCTTAGCACAGTCTTTGTTGAGCCTGTTTTCTCAGGCAGTATGACTCATGATGTACCCTGCTGAACTCTGATTATACTGATATCACTGATTTGGATGAAGAACTGGTAAGTCTTGATACATCTTCCCATGTTCTCCAGTTCTCCACCCCGGTGAGCCCTGTCCTCCTCTGCCCTAGCATGTCTACTCCTTCTCCTAGCACTACAGTCCTTCTTCTCACTAGTCTTCCTAGAAGGTATCCCATGGAAGTTTTGGTTTCCTGGTCCCTCAAACTCTGATATATGGGAGGAGTGCAGAGAATGTTCAAAGTGGTTTTGTGGGATGATGGACAAAGATTCCCACTTTAAAAAGTTCTGATCTGCAGCCCTTACTCTGAGAGCACATGCTTGATGTTTGGGTTCTTAAGATCAAGGATCCCCAAGGCTGTTTTGTGCTTGAGCTACCTCTGGCTGGGTCCCTGGCCTCAGAGCTAGAGGGCAGGACCTGTTCTTCCCAGGCTTTGTATCTGTCTCCAGGAAGGGAAACTTGGCAGCTGGAATTGGAGTGCAGCAAATAATTTGGCACATAGACACAGTCGATGAGAATCAAAGAGGAAAGGAAAAAAAAATCACAAAAGTTGCATGTTCCCCTGATTTTTTGTCTTTAGATAGGCCCAGAGTCTGACCTGCTTTCAACTTCCCCTTAGACTTGCAAGTAAAAGGAAAGAGCTTTTTAAAATGCACCTCATTACTATGTAACTTGTGAGCGCAGGGTGCCCTCAAGCGTTGGTTAGGGTTCATCGCAGTTCACTATTCTTCAAAACACCCTAGAAGGAGTGCAAAGGATACATTTTAGCTTTGTGGTTCATGTCCATCCATCTTAATTTCTCGCCAGAGGCTTTCCCTACCTTTGTTACTTTTGAAGACTCAGGCCACCCTAGTGCTTCTGAGGTATTTTTAAAACAAATTTGGGTTTGACTTTTTGCAGATTGTACTCTGAGGTAAAGTTGTTTGTAGTAAATTCATTTTCTCCATGAATCTTATTTGCTCCCAAGTCTTTCAAAATCTGTCTCCCCTTTTACAGTGTCATTATACTTCTCTTTTAGACAACTTCCTAAAATTAACAATCACTGGCTAGTTCACATCTGCACTTTGCTTTTGCAAGACCAAAAAATTTATGAAACAGGCTTGATAAACAAGTTCCTCCTCATACAGGACCGAGTCTCTACAATAGTATTTGAACTTTTACTTACCTGCCCTCCACTGAAGGAAAATGACCTCTAGCCATCAGAAAACCTTTCCTTTTCCTTTCTTAAAAAAAAATCTACTTCTATATCCAAACATTCCTCTTTTGTTTGTTTAGGCATGTTATCAAACTCCAGATATTTGTGATTTTTGGAAACCTACACAGATATTCAAGTGTGCCCCAAACTTTGGGAGCCAATTAAGTAAAGAAATTTCTTACTGTTCCTGCTTATTTATTAATCTTACTAACCTATAGCCTTATTTATTAATCTTCACATTGATTATTGCCATTGGAGCTAAAAATTCTCTATAATCCATGTGTATATATGTGTATATATAATATATATGGCATGTATGTGTAGTGTTGTGGTATGTAGGTGTACTGTGTGTATAATGTCAGTGTGTGGTACGTGTAGTATGTGTACTGTGTGTAGTGTGTATATGGTGTTATGTGATGTGTATATGTATAGTATATATATAATATGTGTGTGCTTTGTGTAATGTGTGGTGTGTATGTGTGTTTTTGGTTAACCGGGATGCCCTCTGTATCTGATTCTGCTGGAGGACTGCTCAAGACAATTCTAGGCAGTGAAGTGGTCAGGGAGGCAGCAGCCTCAAGAAGTCACCCTTTGGCAAGGAGAAATGGCCACACATTTGCTTCTGGGTAGAAACTTCATCTTCAGGAGTTGTCTTGGTCCAGCAGAGAGCTTGGTGATGGCCAGAGAGGTGTGGAAGGAGCTTGACCTTTGGTCACATAGGCTATAAACAGCAAAAAAAGTGTTGACTGTTCAGAAGTAAATGAAACCTTATAACCAATTAAAATAGGGCCAGATCAAAACCAATATGATTTTGAATAATTCCAAGTCAGATTAGTATTTGTATTGAATCCTGTGCCTAGAGTATGATATAGTTGTAGGAATACAGTCTTGCTGCTGCTATTTCACTTAAATATTTTTTTTAAATGCAGGGATTTTAGTGTACAATTCATGGATTTTGACAATTGTGTATATCATGTAACCATCACGCAAATCAAGATATAGAACATTCTCATCTCCCCCAAAAGTCCCCTCACATCCATTTTCAATCTCTTCCCACCCTGAACGCAACAACTGCTTTGATTTCTATCACCAAAGATTAGTTCTTCCTGTTTAGAAATTTTATTTAAATAAAATATGGAATCTTCTGGCTTCTTTCACTTGACATGTTTTTAAAAATTTATCCGTGTTGTGTATATCAGTAGTTCTTTTCTTTTTATCACTAAATAGCTTCCCATAGCATCCATTATATAGATATACCACAATTTATTCCTCCATTACCCCATAGGTGGACATTTTGGTTGTTTCCAGAGTTTATTTGTTGGTTTGGTGTGTGTATATGTGTTTGTGTGTGTGTGTGTGTGTGTGTGTGTGTGGCGTTGATTTTTTTTTAAAGATTGCTTTTAGAACATTCTTACACAAGTGTTTTTAGAGCAGCCTCACCTCTGCCTATGCTTTCATTTCTCTTGAGTAAACACCTAGGATGGGGATTGCTGAGTCACAGAGTAGAAGTGTGTACATAAAAGCCTCCAGTTCTCCAAAGTCATGCTGTTTGTCCTTCCACCCATCATGCACAAGAGTTCCACTTGCTCCTTGCCCTGTTTAAGACTAGGTAGGCATGGAATGGCATTTCATTGAGGCTTTAATTTGTGTTTCTTTCAAGACACAGGATATTAAACGGTGGCAATTTGTTGAGAGCTGCCATGGATGCAGACGCCTTCAAGTTCCGATGCCCGAGTCACTGACCAATTATTGCCTTCAGTCTGGCATGATAGTACCAGGTCTAGCAGTAACTTGGGCATTAACCCAGCTCAGATAGCAAGCGTGGCTCCAGGTGTAGGCGTCACCCATGGGAATTGAGCTACATTCACCTATTCCTTTGTAATCCTACCCCTTGGCCCTGTTTGGGATAGAATGTTCCATGGAAACTCCCTTTGTGTGCCCCCTTCTCTTGCTCAGCCTTTGATCCTCATTCAGCAATGAGATGAGCACGGTCTTCCTAGATGTCAGTCAACCTGCTGACAGCAGACATCAAGAAGCTAGTCTCAACCCCCTGAAACCTGACCTCTTACCTCATTTGAATGGCTTCTCCCCAATGAAAGGGTTCAGCATGTTCTCCTTGCTCTCTCTCTCTCCCTTTCCACAGACCCCTAAGGTCAGAGGAGCTGTCACAAAAGACAAGTTACATATCTCTAAAAGTGACATTTGCTGTGGGTCCTAAAGGATTCATGGGAAACTTCTAGGCAGAGAAGGGGGTGAAAAAGGGACATTCCAGACAGAGGAAAGAGCCTGAGTCTAGGCAAAGAAAGGCAGGTGCAGAAGGAGTAGGGTTGGAAGCTGTTTCCTCTGCCTAAGGTCCCCCCACCCTGGGTGCCCTGGACCCCAGTCCAGTCCTTTTAATGAAACATTTCTAGTATGAAGCCGGGTTATGCCTTTTCAACAAAGTCCCCTTGTGATTCAGTTGTTCACACAGTGCAAGGGGAGGATCCCTGAGCTGGAATGACAGTGAATGTGAGTGTCAAGAACAGGCTTGCCCATGGTTGCCAAGCAC